CTCACCTAGAGGAAGAGCGCAGGGAAGCGGCCGCCGGCGGGTTCAGGGCCCCGAGCACAGGGGCGGCGCGGGGCGGTGGCTTCCTCGCCCTGCTCCCGCCCGGGCGGCCGGGTAGTCAGAACTGAAGCCGGGACCGCGGCTCCAGCAGCTCCCAGTACCCCCACGTCACGCCGTTGCCATGGATCGGGACCAGGAGAGGGGGGAAGGAAGGGGACCACGCGGCCTGTCGGGAGATGTAGTTTCACACCTCTGGCGAGAATGGGCGCTGCAATGGGTGTTTGCGAAGCTTGCAGATATCGCCCAGTGGAGCGAGGTCGCCAGGCAAACTACTTAGCGAGTCTGTGGTCAGGAACCTGATACATAAGCACTGAGGCGATTTCATGGGCGTGTCAACAGCAGACACTCGTTGGTCTTCTGAACGTCTGTCTTAGAACCGTTACCAGATTCTGCCTTGTTTATAGCTAGAAGTTCCATTCATCATTGTAGCCTCCGTGGTGCCTAATACACCTGGTACACCCTTGAGAAGGGAAATTAACGTACCAACCTCTGGGCTAAGACTTTGCATAGTTTTTTCTGTTAATATTTATAGAAAGAATTCGGGGTAGGAAGAACCAGACTTACTTTTAGGGTAGAGAATCATCTTTCACTTTTGGGGAAGAGAACCATCTTTGTCTGGAAAAGTGTGCGCTTTATGGAGGTGAGACCTCATGAACAAGAACCCAGGCAAGGAAATGTCACTACACTGCTTTCAATCATGATACAAGGAGGGGGGGAAAAGCTCTCAACAGAAGTGGGGAGAAGGAAAAAAAGTGGGGAGAGAGAAGAGAGAAATCAGATATTAGAGAGAGAGACTGGATCTGGTGGGTACAAGAGCCCTTGAAATTCTCCTACGGCGGAGTAGAGGAAGGACATTTTGAGAAAGGTGGTGCCTGCTGTTGCATTTAAAGATGTTTATGGTACTATAGTGCAAGCCTCTCCTTTGTTTTCTTTCTAAGTCTTTAGTCATGCTCTCCACATTCAGGAAAGTTTCATCTGAGTAGTGTTGTGGAGGTGAGGGTGAGGGGCTAAAATAATTAGAGTCTGTATTGCCTTTTGGGTCTAGCTGGTATGGAAGAGAGACATCTTGTCCAGAAATAGGGGCCTGGAAACAGATATAAATCCTCCAACCCCCCGTCTCCTTGAGATTGGCATTAATTTTGGGAATTCCACGGGATTTGAGTTGATATAAAATGCGAGCCCATTTTATCTGGATTTCGAGGAACAGGAGCCCTCCCATGAGACTGTGGCTTATATTTAACATTTTGTAAGAAAAGCATTTTAAACCTTACTTTATATTATACATACATGAAGTCCCAAATTGGGGGGAATGGTCTCACCTCTTTTTTTCTTTCAACATTTCTTCTTTTTCCCTCAGCACTCCCACCCCCACCATTAAGATACAGTATCTCCTTCGAGGAGCCACTCTCAGAAAGGCATGTGACTTTAAGGAACAGACTTACCCTTTCCAAGCCCACTCTCTTGTCCAGCCCCACTCCCTCTGACTAAGGGCTTACACATGTGAGACAGCTGCTTAGAATGAGCAGAAAGGATCTGGTCAGATGAAAGACAGAAATTAACTGAGATACATGACTAAATTGTGACCTCATTTAACACTATGCCTTAACCGAGTTAACTGCTGCAGAGTCCCCAAGGTACAATAGGCCTGCCAAGCCAATTTTCTTGTTGTCCCCCTACTAATTAGATTAGGTAATTATTGCCATTTAAACTTCTCCTAGTTCATTCCATGTTCCTGAAACAACCAACTTCCTGCTATTTTCCTGTCATTCTACATCGATAACTTCCTTCAAGTATTGACTCAAAACACACCTCCTCCAGAAAGACCTTCTTGACTGAACCCATCTCTCAACATTACTGTGAACACATAATGCCACATGAAGTAGCATGAATTCTATATTCTCTAGTGGTTTCATGTGTATATGTATATTCTACTAAGTTATGAACTCCACAGAAATAGACACAATTACTTCAAAGTTTCTACCCCCAAACCAGGCTGAATACAATGATGAATCCTCAATCAACATTTGTTACAAGACTGAAAACTGAGGCTTGAAGACAGGGAGGCATCTGCCTAAAGTTATTCAAATATGAATTCAGTAGTCGAATCCAGAAGGACTGTTTGCATAAGAGAGCTTTGCCACCACTTCCGGCCTCCTCCTCCCTCCAACACTATGCATCTCCCTGAGCTCTGGAAGTATCTGTGTTACCTACATCATAGTCCTTTTTTCCCTACTGGGAAATCCTCTTTCTGTGCTCTGAATAATATTAAAAATAACTCTTCTAGCCCTTCCTCCTCCTTTCAGCTGCCCAGAGAACCCGTCTGGCAGATTCCCTTGTTCACCTCCACTCAGGAGCCAGAACTAGGCACGTGACCCCAGCTCAACCCCTGACTCCAATTCCTCAGGTTACCAAGAGCTATTTTGGGCAATGGAGGCCATGTAGTCCCCTCCTCCCTATCCTCTGGGCCATATCCTAGCTTAGCCCTTCCTGGAAGGTCCATCATAGCCAATAGCCAAGTCAACTTGTCCCAACACCCATATCCAATGGATCCCCAGCTACCTTCATTTCTACTTCTTCAGCCTCATCTTCTTCATCATCATCATCATCATCAAGCATTAAGTGTCTGTTCCCATATGCAGCTCTACCTGATCTACAAAGAAAACTTAATGTATATACTTGCCTTCAGAGAGCTCAACAGCCTTTTTTTCATAGAAAACCAAGCCAAAAACAATGTACAGTCCTGTGTTGGAAGACTGGCTAACAAGGAGCTGAAAATTCGTTCTGAAACATTAGACTCCTGTATGTCAAAGATGTAAGGTGAAATGAATGATAAAGGTGTGTAATTTAAACATGATTGTGACTACAATACAGGGAATATAGCCAATATTTTATAATAACTGTAAATGGAGTATAGCCTGTAAAAATTGAGTCACTATGTTGTACAGTTGTAACTAATATTTTACATCAACTTTATCTCTATTTTTAAAAAAGTAAAATAAAATAAAAAAGATTGTGACAGTCTAAGCTAAGTATGGAAATGTTAAGGAAACCTAATAAAAGGGAAAGAACCTGTTAACCAGGGAAGACTTCCTGGAAGAGGTAAGTTTCCAGGAATACTGTGAACTTTTATTTTCAAAATGGTAAAAATTCAAAAAAATTAAAGGTATGTAGTGAGAGGTAAATTTCCTTTTCATTCCTTATTCCCTGTTTCCCAGTTTTTCTCTCCAGGAAAAAACACTGGCACCAGTGTTGTGTGTATCCTTCCAGAGGAATCAAGATATTGAAGGTGATGAGGAGCATAGATTGTTGGAGAGCAACGGAGGGCTTTTATACCTCTACCTTGAGGGGGGCCAGTGTGCTACATTTCCTAAATGTGTTTCTTTCTTTGGACACATATATTGAGTTATTAAGCTCTGAACAGTACCCTGAATCACCTTTTATAAATTGTACCAATTCTTCAATATCCATTTTTCTTCTCCCCTCTTTTTCCCTTTCTGGAATGGGATGACCTCCATCCAGATCTTGCCTCCCTGGCTGCTCTCTGGCCTCTCCAATGGAGTGGGGGAAGCATCCCGACCGTTTTCTGGGGGTAAACCGTTGAGCCTTTTAGAGTGTAGACACCCTATCACCTAAGCCTGGCAACAAAGTAATTAGGGAGTCAAAAAGCCCCCTTCTGCAGGCCTTGGAGGCCTTCTACTTCCAGCTGTCCCAGCTTCTTCTTGGGGTCTGCAGCTGAGAGTCCTTGCGTTTTCTCTCTGCAGTTTGGCACTTTTGCTCTTTCCGTTCTACCCAACTCTTGTCACTGCCAGTGGAGACACGCGCCTTCCCTCCCTCTGGGACTATTGCTATTAACCCCCAGATATCCACGCCCCTGCTTCCCCAAGTCTGTGGGGGGTTTTGGGGTGTGTATCGCTGACAGGAGTTAGCTCCAGCGGAGGTATTGTGGGCTGGGTGAGATCTGGTCAGCCATCTGGTCCTCAGGTTGGAAGACACCGCAGGGTCAAGGCGCGAGTTCGCGCTAGGGTCTTCAGGGGACGCCCCGGACCGCCAGACCGGAGCGGAGAGCACGGCGCGGCCAGCCTGGGCAGCCGGGGAACCAGCGCGCGAGATGCGG